AAGTAAGGAACCACAACACCATATTCCCTTCTGAAAGTAAGGAACCACAACACCATATTCCCTTCTGAAAGTAAGGAACCACAACACCATATTCCCTTCTGAAAGTAAGGAACCACAACACCATATTCCCTTCTGAAAGTAAGGAACCACAACACCATATTCCCTTCTGAAAGTAAGGAACCACAACACCATATTCCCTTCTGAAAGTAAGGAACCACAACACCATACTCCCTTCTGAAAGTAAGGAACCACAACACCATATTCCCTTCTGAAAGTAAGGAACCACAACACCATATTCCCTTCTGAAAGTAAGGAACCACAACACCATATTCCCTTCTGAAAGTTTGACATTGAGCTATAAAAAGGGAAATTGTTTTTAAATCAGTATCAAATTATTCATATATGCAGCTGACGTTTGGTCCACACATTATGCGAGATCTCGTAGAGAGTGAAAAATCATTTAGTTGAATGGCGAGATAATCACTAAATTGCAAAACAACATTTCTGGTAAATACTAAAATGCGAAACTGTGAAAAAACTTTGTTTTGCTTATAATAAATTTCCTTGTTTGCATGTTTTTAGCCCTTTTTAAATATGACGTTAACCATTCTGCCTGTCCAATCTTAAAAATACTTGGCAGAACTATTAGTGGATTCTGTTTTCTGTCTTTATACATTACACAGGCCTTGGTCTACTCAGTCGACATCCCATACTGAATACCACCACACAGCATCTGACAGTGACTGCATCATCACCGGATAAAAACAATCGTCATGTTCTTCATGTTAATGTCCTCGTACCTAACATTGGTGCTGTGCACGTAGCAGTTGTTCATCTATCCTACGACAGAAACCAACAATGTAATAATGTATTAGAAATAGCACAATATCTACAAGGTAAGTTTTAGGTTGAAGTGATGTTAAAATTGTGACTATTAGGCCATGAAAAAGTTATGTGATTATGATTACATGCATTACAAAAAATGTAGGGTAGGTCGGACTAAATTTTTTTTTTAATTTTTTTTTTATTCATCATGACATTATTTCCTTTGATCCAAGTTTAATAATGTTTATAGTAAAGGTCCTCGTAATTTGACCGAAATTTTGGAAAATAATCAGGTTTATGCAAGTCTCATTGATATTTTATGAGATTTTGCAAAATTGTTACGTGTTTGAACAATAAATTTAAGGTAGGGTTGTGATACCGGATTTATTTGACCCTAAATTAATGAAATTTGCAGTCTGTGAACGTGTCTGGATAGAAAAGTAACAACAGAAAACATGCTCACTGTATACCTTTCCACTTTCTCAGATTCTCATTTTCCACTCTCTGTTATAATGGGAGATTTCAACATCTACCAAGGGTTTGAACAACCACTGGAGAGACTCATGAAAGGTTACTTCACATCTAGTAGTGGCTGCCCTAAAAACACCTTCCTGGAACACATTCAGGATCCCAGTAAAACAACATTATATAAAGATGCATGGAAAGAGACGCATGCCCATGAGGACGGCTTCACGTTCAGTAACATGGTGAGTTGGTTATTTTTTAAAGTTATGATTTTAATTAATTACATAATAAGTTAGCTGTTTAATAGTGATATAACAAATCACATGCTGAATTGCAGCTTGCACGGATAACCAATAGGAATAGAATATATCTGCATCAGCTGGCAATGTTTTAGAGTAGTACTCTGATATTACTCATACAGCTTTATTTCTTGGGACAATATATTATGTGAAATATTTGCTTGCCTGAATATCTGGTAATTG